TCTCAAATGGTTAAAAATCAAAAAAAATGTTTATTTATCGATCATTGAATTTAAATTGGCCGATAATAATGATGTTATTAGATCCCGGACTCGAAAATATATTAACACGTTGGTGACAAGTCTTTGACAACATTGAACCTGGGATAAAGGCTCCAAGATAAGGCAATATCTGAAATGTCAAAACAAGATGAAAACCTAACGGTAGACAGCGGTAGACACTGCGCAAAAAAAAAACTAAAGCGAATTACGATTTCTTTTTAGTCAAGTATCTGCTTTGCTCAACCCTGACGTTTTGAGCAAAAATAAATAAATTATTCGGTTACTAAATAGATAGCAATGGGAATTCGCATGATACGATGATGTAAAATAACCACAACCATTCATCATTTTTGGGAAACGAAAATATTTTCAATTTAACAAATTAATTTCAAGCCAACGTAGCAAAAAAAGAAAAAAAACGATTCTTTACAAAGTTTTACCCTTTGATTTTGATCTCAACTTTCCCCAACAATTCAGTTTACTAAAGTTGAGCAACAAAATGTTTAAGGATTCGTGATTCATTACCGTAACTGCACTGAATCAAGTCTTAATATTAACGAGACTTCTTTACAACAGAATATTCAAATTTGGTAAAAAAAAAAGAAAAAGGGAAAAAAGTATTACACAAAATATAAAAATCTACATTTAGAAAGGAACAGTAACACGGCGGCATTATTCTCAAAGAAAAAAAAAATCTAAAGTCGAATTTATATATTATAGTTTTATATAATGTCATATGTTGACCGATTGTTGTCATCATCACCAGAAAGAAAGAAATTTGTATATAAATTTTATAATGAAATGTATAGCAATGCAGTGGTTAATTCTGATGAAGAAAGTGTGAAAGATTATTTTTTTTCATTGGTAAAAAAAAACAGGGAGCTTTCTGAAAATGAAAAAGAACATTGTAAGGAAAGGTTTATTTATGAGTTTGAATTAAAGAATGTACTAAATAAAAATGGCAAACCAAAAGAATGTAACAAGTGTAAATTGACAAGATACTCTGATAGATTCTGTGAAGGTTGTATTAGTTTACAATTACAGAATCTTTTCACCACTTGGACATCTGGAAATAACATAGTTGACAACTTTATCCAACAATGTCAAATGAAATCTTCTCTGCCAAACCTTATTTGGGGTATGCTGTAACAAAACCAGACAAAGTGAACATTGGTATTACCAAGAATTTCAGGGTTCAAACGTGTTGCCATTTATTCAACACTCCCAATTATAAATTTTAGATTTTTTTGTTTAATTTTTTATTCAAATTTTTCCAAGGAATAAGAAATTTATTTAAGAAAAGCATCCAAAGATTCTGCTGATACCAATAATAATTTAAGGCAATTATGTGTATTCTACTTTAACTATACATGTGGTCAAACTTAAAAGTTGTGTGATGCAATTTAGATGCAATTAGTTCTGTGTGAGACGCATTGATACAGACGCAATTCGTGATACAAGACGAAATTCGTGATGAAATCTCTTTTGAAAAAATTTTTTTTTATATATAATACCTAGGGGTAAGTAAATAAGTGGGGGGGGACAACTCGATGTTACACATATAGATTTTGTGAATCCAAAACTGTCACGCACTATGAAATTACTAGTATTT